ATAGGAGACTTAAATAAATGCAGGAGGAGGGGGAGAATTCCCTATTCAAGGATGGGAAGACTAAATATAGTGAAAATGACAATCCTTCCAAAAGCAAGCTACATGTTTAATGCAACCCCAATATAGATGCCAAATTCATTTTTCAAGGAGCTACAAAAAACAGTTGGAAGGTTTACTTTGAAAGGACAGAGGCTCTAAATAAGCAAAGCACTTCTGAAAAAAACAAGAATGAAGTTGTAGCCATAACTCTCCCTGATTTCAAAACCCATTACACTGTGCACCCATGTTTATTGCTGCTGTGTTCACAGTAGCAAAGAGTTGGAAACAACCCAAGTGTCCATCAACAAATGAATAGATAGAAAAACTGTATACTCACATAGTGGAATATTATGTAGCACTAAAAAACAAAGAACTCATGAAATATACAAAATGGGTGACCATGGAGGATATTATACTGACTGAAATATCTCAGTCACAAAAAGACAAATACTGTATAATGCCACTGTTATAAAACATGACAGACAGGGGGGTTGGGGGGAAACTAAGAAAAGAGGGGATAAATAATGTACATAGCAAGGGAGAGAACTGTATAAAAGAATATATGATTAGATATTATTGGTGTGACAAGAGTCCAGAATAAGAGCTGCATAGTAAATTGGTTTGTGGGAAGGACTGTATAACAATGAAAGAACTTTTTCTCTAAAGAAAAAACAAGCTTGGGGGAGAGGGGTAGAGAGGAAAATGTGCAACAGTGAATGAATGGAAAACCAAGTTCTTTATAAACTTACAATAAAATCTTGATTAAAATAAACAAACAAAACCCCCCAAAAACTTATTACACAGCTGTAATAACCAAAACATCATGGTACTGGTACAATGACAAACACATAGATCAATGGATCAAAATTGAGAACCAAGAAATTAACACACATGCCTGTACCCAGTTTGGTATTTTACAAGGAAATGAAGCCTATCAAATGGGGGAAAGACAAGTTTTCAATGAATGATACTGACAGAAGTGAACTTCTACCTAAGAAAGCAGAAGTGGGATAAAGATCTCACCCATACACAGAAATCAACTCAAGATGGATCAGAGATCAAAGGAGAAAGCCCCAAACCATAAAGATTATAAGAGACAAAATGGAACTACATTTAGAAGCCTTGGCCTGTGGTATAAAGGTCTGGTATATACAGCCAGAAATGTACAACTGGGAGTGGATAACATCAATGAATGGGACCTTCTAAAGATTAAGTCCCTGTGTACACCAAAATCTTTTTCCAGTAGGGCGAAAAGAAAGCTTACTGGCTGGGGCAAAAAAATTTGTCAATACCATCTCAGAAAAGGGTTTCATAATGAAAATGTACAGAATAATATAGAGCCACCACAAGAAAAGGATGAAAACCCCGTTACAAAATGGACAAAAGACATGGAAAGACTTCTCACAGAGGAAGACAATTGAATGGCCAACAGACACATGAAGAAATGCTCCAAATCACTGGCAATGAGAGATGAAAAAAAAAACAACAACCCCACAATGAGATACTGTCTCATCCCAGTAGCAGTGGCAAATTTTAATAGGACAGTAAGCAATACATGTTGGAAAGGCTCTGGAGAGATTGGGACTCCCATACATTATTGATGAGATTGTAAAATGGTATAGCCACTCTGAAAGGCAGTTATACATTTTCTCAAAGAGCTGAACTTAGAAATTCTATATGATCCAGCTTTTTCTGGGAAAATAGATCTGAGGCACAGATGTAGATTTGTTCATTTGAGTTAATAACAGCATTATTCACAATAGCAATAACATGGAAGCAACCCAAATGTTCATCAACAAATAACTGAATTGAGAAATTGTAGTACATTCACACAATGGAATACTATGCAGCACTCAGGAGCAACTATTTTGAAAAATATTATGTAACATGAGAAAGATGAGTGAACTAACTCAATCTCATAAAAACAAATACTTCATGAGACTATTATTATAAATATAGAAGGATAACTAGCCAGGATGTGTACAAGGATCCAAAGGGGAAGGGGAGGAGGCAGGGGGGCTGAGGGGAGAAGAGGTCAAAAATCATGAGGTTACAGAATCTGGTGGGCAGAGGGAAGGGGTGACTGAATTAAGAGAAGTCTAGTACTGACTTGAAAAGAGAATAGTGGGCATAGATGAATGGTGATTAATTGTATAAAACACAATGTATGGGAATGATCCATAATATGAATGATTCATAATATGAATAAAATCATTTATGAACACAGTGTGCATAACTGAAACACAATATATACAAATTTTGAATGCAAACCAATATAAAGTAAAAATAATTTTTTAAAAAGAAAAAAATGTTATTTTAGAGAAATTTTGCAGAAATATTGCTTTTTCATTAATTCACTGATACACATTTTCCTCCTTCACTCTTTCCTTTCCCCTCCTCCAATTCACTTTGTAATCCAAGTCTTGTTCCACATTGTTGTCATATATATATAATGCCTAATCATCCACTAAGGTTGGTCTTTTTAAAATGATTAACATTTGAAGGCAGGGAACCTCTTGTTTAAACCAACTAGGACCTGGTAGGTAGGACTTTGTTATTAACAGTCTGTTAGGGGCTGGGAGCCTTTTATTTAAAGCAGTTAGGACCTGGAAGGTAGGTCTTTTTTATTTGATTAACAGTTGTTTGGGAAGGAGGAGACTCATTTGAAGCAGTTTGATTTGAGTCAAAATTTACAGAGCAGGGTAGCATTCCTTTAAACCATTCATACATATATTGTTTTATGACTTTTATAACAATCCTCATATTGTAGCACCATTCCTCTCACTGTCTCTCTGTGGTTTTTGTTTCCATTGATCCCTTCATCCCTTCCTTCCTAACTGCTAAATTTTATCCTTGGACAAATGTTGCCATTGTAATCCTGTATCATTGAATGTTCTGTGTGCCATGTATCTCCTTGATGCTTGCCTTACCTTACATAGCTGTCTGTTTGGCTACAAGTTGTGCCACAGAGGTGAATTCTGGTCCAAGCTCAAATGGTTAAGGACCATAGTCTCAGGACTTCGAGTGGTTTCAGACGGGTGACCCTGACTGTTAATGTGATTTTGAGGGTTTTTTTCCCCCTTCATTTATTTCATCTCTATCCCAGAAGAATGTCTATCTGTGTTTCATTGATTATGCAAAGGCATTTGACTGTGTGGATCATAACAAACTGTGGCTGACTCTGAGAAGAATGGGAATCCCAGAACATTTAATTGTGTTAATGCGAAACCTGTACTTGGATCAAGAGGCAGTAGTCAGAACAGAGCAGGGTAACACTGCATGGTTCAAAATTGGGAAGGGTGTACGCCAGGGATGCATCCTGTCTCCATACCTTTTCAACATGTATGCAGAGCAGATTATCCGAGAGGCTGGGCTCTATGAGGAGAATTGTGGCATCAGGATTGGTGGAAGAGCTATTAACAATCTGCGTTATGCAGATGACACAACCCTGCTTGCTGAAACTGAGGAGGACCTCATGCACTTGCTGCAAAGGGTCAAGGACTGCAGCCTTCAGTATGGACTGAGGCTCAATGTCAAGAAGACAAAGATTCTCGCCACTGGACCAATTGGCAGCATCAGGATGGATGACGAAGAGATTGAGAGTGTTCACAGCTTCAGTTTGCTCAGCTCCACAGTCAACACTCTTGGCACCAGCAGTCAGGAAATCAAAAAGCGTATCGCGATGGGAAAGTCTGCTGTTAGGGACCTCTCAAAGGTACTCAGGAGCAACAGTGTCTCTCTGGAGACTAAGGTGCGCCTGATACAGGCCATGGTCTTTGCAATCGCTTGTTATGCATCAGAGAGTTGGACAATGACTAGGGAGGACAGAAGGAGAGTGGATGCTTTTGAGCTGTGGTGCTGGAGAAGGGTACTGAATGTACCCTGGACTGCCAGGAAAACAAACAGATTCATCTTGGAGAGGATTAAACCAAGCTACTCCTTGGAGGCAAGGATTCTGGGGCTTCGTCTGACATACTTTGGGCATGTTGCCAGGAGGGACGGGTCCTTGGAGAGGGACATCATGCTTGGGAGGGTGGAGGGACAGCGCAGGAGGGGAAGACCCTCTATGAGATGGATTGATTCAGTGACTGGGGTAATCGGGATGGGTGTGTCAGAGGCAGTGCGGTTGGCGCAGGATAGAGCAGGGTTTAGGGCTGTTGTGCATAGGGTCGCTATGAGTCGGAAACGACTCGACGGCACATAACAACAACAACAACATCCAAGACCTTATGTTTTTGCTTTCAGAGTGGTTAGTGGTGGTAGTCAAGGCACCATCTAGTTCCTTTGGTTTCAGCATCATGAAAGTTGAACCTAGTGAAGTCTTTTGGTGCTATAGACTGATTCTATGTGCCTTTGATTTTCTTCACTCCAGACAGAGAGATACCAGTGGTTGAAGGTCTCAGGTGTTGCTCTTCAGTGTAGAGTGTAGAATGTTGTCCTCATGGACTATGATATAATAATTGGCTTTATTGTCCCCCATGGCGGTGGTACTGAGGCCTCATGTCTGAATCCGGTCTTGAAACAAAAAAGAGATCTATGAGATAATACTAACAGCGAACACTGATTGATTATTAGGTACCAAACAACGTGCTTTGCACCTTATTGGTTTGAAGTAATTTAATCCTGGTAAGAATTCCAGTGAAATAGATATTCTCATACTTTGATTTTTCAGGCAAAGAAATGGAATCATAAGGAAGGAAGTAAATTATCCAAAGTCACAGGATAAGTAAATATGGAGTCTGCATATCTTTCAAAGTCCAAAACTCTGAAAGAAACCTTTGGCTTTTAGAAATTCTTTCTTTTGATTCTTCCTGGAGGCTTCTAAGCACTCCACCTAGGCCACTGTACTCATATGCAGATACCTGCTGGGAAAATGGTCCCACATGCCTCTTTAGGGATTGTCATACAACTCCAGGGAGTAGCTTTTAGGAACTCATCACATTGTTTTCTGCTGCTTTTAGGCAAAAGTGATGATGAAGAAAGTCTTTGCAAGTCAGCCCATGGGGCAGGGAAAGGGGCTACTGAAGATGGCAAGGACCATAAGCGCCCCAAGCGTCCCAGAACCATCTTGACAACCCAACAGAGAAGAGCATTCAAGGCCTCATTTGAAGTGTCCTCCAAGCCATGCCGGAAGGTACAGGTGGGGAAAGGGATGGAACGAGAAGGGTACCCCACATTTCTGTGTGCACCATACAGGCACCTGGGAATCAAAGACATAGGGAAACTGTTTAGACAGATTCTGTACAAGTAACCCTTATGTCCTGGGGAGATTCTAGAAAACACTGAAGTGGGGACGAGGTTTATAGTAGAATTTCCGTATGTTTTATGCATACTTATCACTCCATCTACTGGGCCCTTGTCCACTCCTTTATTTAATGGAAAGTAGGGAGCTCTGGTGGCCTAGTGGCAAAAAGCTATGCTGCAATCCTGAAGGCATGCAGTTCAAATCCACCAGCTGCTCTGAGGGAAAAGGATGGGCAGTCTCCTCTCATGCAATTAGCTGCCTCTAAAAACCCACTAAAGGGTTGGTTCTGACTCCATGGTATACAACTACAACTGCAACAACAACAGTGAGAGTAATAATATAATAGGTACAGGGTAAGATGCTGTAACAGAGCCTCACAGAATAGTGACTCAATGAGATTAGAGTTTATTTCTCTCGTGCTGTACAGTTTAAAGATGAGCCGTCTGAGACTAGTGGGTAAGCTCTGTTATTTATCACACAGTCCAAGCCTTGCCTGGTTGTCATTATTCTTCCAGCCATTCGGGTGGAGAAGATGGCAGGCAGGTGGAGGGCCACCTGAACTAGAGGTTGCTTGCACCACCTTCACTTCCAGTCACATGACTGCACATCATGGAGGGAGGCTCAGAAGTTAATTTCTTCTCAGGACTGCTGGCTGACCGTGTGCCTTCATAAAACATGAGGATTCAGTTACTAATAGGAAGAAAGCAAGAGTATATCTTGGGGACAATTGGTGGCCTCTGTCACAACAAACTGAAACTCAAACTTACTGCTGTTGTGTCAGTTCTGATCCATAGCAACCCCCTATTGCTTCAAGAGGCTGTGAATCACAATGGTGGAGGCTTCCCACCTTTCTCCTCAAAGCCACTGATGGATTTGAACCAGTTCAGACGAGAAGCTCTTGGTTTAGCAGTGTGATTCAGCACGTCACCAGAACTCTCTGCCACCACAAACTGCATCCATTTAGTGAATGATGTTGGGTGCTATTGACTCTATTTTCAACTTACATAGACCTCAAATGACTGAGTAGAGCAGGTTTTTCTAGGCTGTGACTTTAATGGAAGCAGATTGACAGATTCCTGCAGAGCCACTGGGCAGGTTGGAACCACACAGTCTTCAGTTAGCCTCTAAGGACCTTGCTATCGCATGACCATTGCATTTATTGAATGCCTGTCATATGCTGGCTACTGTCCTCTATGTAATAAAAAGAAAGAAAACAGGTTTGTCTGATGGTAGTGGGTTATCAGAAACTGTTAACATTAATACCACTGAAGTTGGTACACAATCCCTCACTGCTGATTTTGACTGGCTTAAAAGAAAAAAAGAAAGAAAATAGTCCTTATTGAAATTGATACAGAAAATAGAGTAATTAAAAATATAAAAATTGTTAGCATTGGATCCCTACTTGTACTAGTCAGCTTTTTTAAAAGAAATTTTTATTACAAAGCATATTACAGGGTTTCCCCAACCAACCAATTAATCAGTCATACATATTTTGTTTCATGACATTAATTAATTATAAACACACAATATTTAATTATCGTCTTTTAAAAAATAATGAATTTACTGTGATTTGAGTAAAACTTGACAGAGCAGCTTTCAAGCCTCCATACGTATTTTGCTTTATGACGTTGATTACAATCTCCATAGTGCAGCATCACTCTGCCTGTCTCCTCCCTGTGGTCCTGCTTTCTCAGCTTTGGGAAATGCTGCCATCTCTTAATATTGTATGGTTGATTGTTCTAAAACCCAGCTACCTCCTAGTGTTATCATTCCATTAATAAACCTGTCTATTACTTGGCTGGAAGATGTGCCACCTGGGTGAGTTCAATTTCAGATTCAAAGAGTGGCAAGGGCCATAGTCTTGGGATACCATAGTCTGTATTAGTCAACTTTTGCTGTGGTAACAACAACCCAAAATCTCAGTGACATGTTTTTCTTGCTCCCAGGCTGTGGCTTAGCTGGGATCAGGTTCAGGTCTGCTCCAGTAGTCTTCTATTCATGGATCCACCTTGTAGAACCTCCACCTGGCATATGCCCTTCTTCTGAGGATAGCAGAGGGCAGAAGGCCAAGTCAGACTGGGCAAGCCCATTGAAAACCTTTATGTTGTGGTGTATACATCAGATCCACTTCTAGTTCGACTTGTCCAAGAACCACATGCCGCCAAGCCCAATATGGGTGCAGTGGACAAGTGTACATTCCCCTGGAGCAGAGAAGAAAGAGCAGATAGTTTAAGAACAGTGATACAGTCTACTCGAACATGTGGCCTTTCAAAAGATTCAACTTCAGTGCTCTTCTTTTCCATGTCCTTGCTACTTTTAGGCTCCAAGTAGACACTGGGAAAATTAAAAACCAGTTGCCATCAAGTTGATTTTGAATCAGGGTGAACACCTGTGTGCATGTAGGTGGACTTGACTATCCATAATTTCTGTTAGAAGCTAAGTGTATTGACCATATACATCAACCAAAGAGTCCAGGAGGAAGTCAAATACCTTTAAGGTAAGCTTGCACTTACCTCCTTATGCTTTGTGTGCTGAGGGAACACTCTGATGGCATGCTATGTAAGTAGTTGCACTGCTATACCAAAGACCTCCCTCTTTGTGGTTTAAATCCACCAGCTACTCCATAGGGGAAAAGCTGGGCAATATCCTCCAGTAATTTACAGTCTCAGAAACCCAATGGAGGGTCAGCTATGAGATAGAGAGAGAGAGAGATGTGTACTAAACTCCCAGCCTTAGTACATGGGATTTATGCTCGCCCCTGGGCAGTACCGAGGCCACCAGCACACAGGAGATGTGTGCACACATATTGTAACACTGATTGGGGAGCAAGTACTGAGGACTGTAACAAAGCAGCCAGCAGGAGCCTGGGGAGCCAAGTGAAGAGATGGGTCACTTCTGTGGGGGATTCAAGTGAGGCTTTGTGGAACAGGTGGCCTATGCTCTGGGCCTCTGAAAGATGGATAGGGTTTCAACAGGTGGAGCTGGACCCCTGTGTGGGATGCTGTTTTCATAAGCTTAGCAGGAGGATGTGCTTTAAAACACGAATGTAATCATCCCACTTCTCCTAAGCCTCAGTCCAAGTGGCATGATTAAGGAGAAGGACTTCACAAGGCTTTGGGTTTTTCTCTACTCACAAATTTATTCAAGTAGCTCCTTCAGTCCCAGCCCTCCCCAGGATTCAACCAAGAGGTGGCAGTGTCTCTCTGGCCCGTTCTAGAAAGCCTGTGACTTTTGCCTCTTCTCCTTTTGCTGCCTTGCCAGCCAGATCACAGCCTGCCCGTATAAGGAGGACAGTCTTTAGACACGTCTCTTTCTATTCTGTTTGCTGGATGGCACAAATAGTTAAGCACTCAACTATTAGCTGAAAAGTTGACTTTTCAAACCCGTCCACAGTCACCAAGAAGACAGGACTGGAAAGCAATGTCTTTCTCAAAGATCGCAGCCATGGGGACTTTCTGGAGCAGTCTCACAGTGTGTAGGTGGGCTTGCCAGATTGACTCGATGACACCCAAAACAAATCAGTTGTTTACTTTCCGATGATCACGCCTCTGCACAGCTTCTTCTTCAGAGCTACCTGCCTTGTGGTCAGATTCCAGATGGCTCCTACTCTAGTCCTCTTGGGCTGAAGCCATTTAGGATAGAAGAGACTATGGATTGTCATTAAATATTCAAGCCCCTTAAGCGATGATTGTTGTTCTTAGGTGCCCTCAGGTTGAGTATAACTCATAGTGATTTTATGAACCACAGATCTGAACTCTGCCCTGTCCTGGGCTACCTTTATAATTTCTATAACATGTGAGCCCATTGCTGCAGCTATCATGTCAGTCCATCCCATTGTTGTGTCGATCCATCTTGTTGAAGGTCTTCCTCTCTTTCATTGACCCTCCACCTTTCCAAGCATGAGGTCTCTTTCCAAAGAATAGTTTCTCATAACAACATGCCCAAAGTATATTGCAAAAAAAAAAACCCACCACAACAACAAACCACAAAAAAACCCCCAACCAAACAAAAAACCCCAACAACAACAAAAAAAAAACCACAATATAACACACCATCAAAAAACAAAACAAACAAAAAAAACCCAACCCAACAAACAAAAACCTAAGTCAATGAATTTAGACAAGAGGGAAGAGTAAGATAGACTCACTTGGGTTTGCAAAGTGAATTTTACCCCGTTTCCCTTAAATATGTTAAGACATATACATTAAAAAAACCATTCACTGGCATTGAGTTGGATCTGAGTCATAGTGACCCTTCATCAGAATTAATGCATAGCCTATCTTTTCCCTAAGGAAGTGATGGTATATTCAAACCACAGGAGGTGCACAATTTGGGGCTAACAGGACAACTTACTATGGATGATTCCACTAGAGTTCCCCAGATACATACCAAGCTTATAGCAAGGGCACAGCAATAGACTTTTTCTAATGGCTGAAGACCACATGAAAGTCTAATGACCATCAGAAAGGAAGCCCAGAAACCTCCTAGGAGCGCACGTCTGAATAAATGACTTTTCCTTTCTTTGTTTATTTGGCGAAGGACTCTCTCCACCTGAAGGGAAGTGATTCTCTCATGTTTTATGTTCAGGTTTAGGTCAGTTCCTCTGTAAGATGTGGCCAATTTACTTCCTCATGCTCAGGGTAGGAAACGTTCCAAGGCCCCTCCCCTCCACTCCCCCCCCGCCCTTTTTTTTAATCTTAATGTTTCTGTTTCATTTTTTTTTCCCCAAATATTTTTTCAAGGTGCGAGAGACCCTGGCTGCAGAGACAGGCCTGAGCGTCCGCGTCGTTCAGGTGTGGTTCCAGAACCAGAGAGCTAAGGTAACCTGCCTCTGCCTTTTGTCCCTCTCAGAGCTGCTGCCTCCCTGAATAACAGCAGTAAAACATTTTGCCTTGTAGATGTCAAACCTGAGCTCACTGACAGGATTATTTTCTTGATTGAAAAATTGTGTTGTCACTAACCATTTCAGCCATGGCAGCCCTGTGGAAGGGGACAGACTGGGCATTGGTTTTAGTGAAAGGCTTGTTGGCTTCCTCTTGGCTGTGACTGTGAAGTTTGCCAACCAGTTGTGGTAATAAAGATCTCTGTGTGTCTTTCACTGAAAGCATGCTCTTCAATTCACGTTTGTTTAACCCAGATACCAAAGTGCTTTTAAAAATTCAATCAGAAACTCAAATAGTGCACACCTGGTGGAGTGGAGAAGCTGTTGTGCGTGGGTGGGACTCAGCTCTCTCCAATGCACATGCCTTCATCAGTATAGGACCAGACCGCCATTGGTTTTCTGCTTCCTGCCAAGATCTCAATTTCCTTGTCATAATCTTGCTTCTAGATCTTTTCCTCATCCATCTATAAAATTCATGTCATCTGGAGTCCATTTTTTCTGTGGCTTGATCTTTAGGAGGTGATAAGTCACCATCTAATTACTTGATCATGTTTGCTAACGGGTATGGTAGTATTTCCTTACCTGAATTCCTCACAACAGGGTGTTGCCAGATACCCCATCAGAAAAGGACTCCCTGATTAGAGACCTTTGAGAAGCCCTGTAGCCAGGGCAGATAACCCAGGAAATAAGAGGAGCACAGACTTATTTTTGTTTCCTTTGTAATCTGTAGCCAATAATCTCACATGACTTTGTCCATTGCACCTTAGGAATCAAGCACAGGTAAATCCTGCTTATCTCGCTTACTGGATACTCTGTGGCTCTCAAGGATTATACATTTGAAAGGAGGCTTTTATTCTGTAGGAAGGTGCCATGGATTGGGAGAGAGACAGATGCTAACCGTACTAGCATCCTTGATGTGGTGGAAAATGGGAAATTTTCACAATAGATAATAAGCTTACCATGGTCATGGGGCTGTCCGACACTGCCTGCAGCAGATGGATTAAAAAAATCCGAACAACAGAACAAAACAGAGCACACAATGAAAATCTCCAAGAAATCATGCAATAAAAAACTTGTTTCATGTTTCTTAGATGTATAGTTTCCTACACACACACACACACACACACACACACACACACACACACACAGAGTGTATTTTTACATCTGGTGGATCCCTAGTGTTCCACAGAGCACAGTTTGAGAAATATTGGATTAATGTGTTCTTTCTCCAAGGAACACTTTCTGTGAGGATATAAATCTCATGGTTGGTGTTTGTTTTTGTTGTTAAGTGCGGTCAAGTGAGTACGTCTCATAGCAACTCTATGAATAAAAGATCTGAACCTTACTCTATCCTGTGCCATCCTCACACTTCCTGACACACAAGAGCCCATTGCAGCAGACACTGTGTCAATCCACCTGGTTGAGGGTCTTCTTTTCCTTTGCCAACCTTCTACTCTTCCCAGCTTAATGTCCCTCTCCAAGGAATAGCCCCTTCTAGCAACATGCCCAAAGTATGTAAAGTGAAGCCTCATCATTCTTGCCTCCAAAGAGCACTCTGGCTGCACCCTCTCCAAAACATATCTGTTTGTTGTCTTGGATGCTCAGTGCTCTTCTCCAGCACCACAGCTCAAAGACGTCCATTCTTTTCCTGCCGTCCTTATTCATTGTCCAACTCATGGTAGAACTCTAAAACACAAAGCTGCCTCTTGGCAGCTCCTTGCTCCGGTATCCAGGTAGGACTGGCCCAAAGTACTCATTTATTGACACCACGGTTCACACAATTCTTCTGTGGAATAATAACAATATGAATAGCAAGTTTTATTTGCTGAGAGGAGATCCTTGTGTCTGTGAAGATAAGCTGTATCCTTGCTTCTCAACCAAGTCTCTTATCACTGCAGTGAAATGAGCCAATCAGTTGAGAGTCAGGTAATATGATCTTTTCTTCCTCAAGCTTGGCTCCTTCAACCTAATAAAATTTAGGGAGAGCCCCCTGCTTTGTAATCAAGTTCTATCATGACAAGGGCATCACTCTTCATTTCCTCGCTTACCTCTGGAACCTACTGCAGGTTTCCTGACCTCTCATACTGTGGTTCTCTCCCCACCAGATGAAGAAGTTGGCCAGGCGGCAGCAGCAACAGCAGCAAGATCAGCAGAACACCCAGAGACTGAATTCTGGTAAGCTGGCAGCTCCTTCCCACATGTCTTTACTGGAGTCCAGACCTCTGCTACCAGTTCTTTCCAGCTCCCCAGGTTCTTGAATGATTATCTCTAGACTCTAGAAAGTAGTTCACTCTCACTTGAGACATGAAGCCTTCATGTGGGGATTAAGAGGTGAGAAATTGAGAGAACTAGAGGATGGATGTCTGAGCTGCAGTCTTAGAACTGGTTAGTAGAGACAGAAATGAATGTATCTCAAGCCTCCATACCCTGATCTTTTTCCAGGAAGGGAACTAGGTATGTGCCAATGAGCCCAAGGTATTTCTCATTTTTCCACTCTTCTCCCTTCTCTTATTTCTCAACTAATCAGTTAAGTATAGAGACATGTGGTTCAGTGGTAGAATCTCACTTTCCACATGGGAGACCAGGATTTCATTCCTGGCCAGACTTGGCATGATACTTCCATAAATTAGCCAATAAGGGAGTTCTGTTGTACTGTTCATAGAGAGTTCTGCTGTTACCACAAAGGCCAAGCCTTTCTGGCATTCAAATCTCCCAGCTGCTCATCTAGGAAAATATGAGTGATCTCCTCCCATTGCAATTTACAGCCTCAGAAACCCAAGGGAGGGTCAGCTACGAGTTAAAATGAATTCAATGGCAATGAGTGTTTTATAACTGAAAAATTAGTCACTATCTTTGGGGTCTAAATTTTTATCCCAACAATCTGACTCAAGCCTGATTATAGGGATGGTGCAGGATTGGACAGAAATATTCTATTTGATTGTACATGAGTCACCATGAGTCAGGGACTCACTTAAGGACAGGGAGCAATCACAGCGATCAGTGAAGTAGAAGACACTCATGTGGCTTATCCGTTTCCAAAATAGTGTAACATAAAAAAAAATGATGACAAAGACTAATAAAAAACCCACTAGCATCAGGCCCATTATCCTCTAATAGGTTTCTGACGCTATAAATCTTAATGATCACAAATTGCTTCAGCTCTCTCCTGTGAAGCAGCTGTGAGGATCGAACTGCCAGTCTTTCAGTTAGCAACCCAGCACATAAACCACTATGCCATCAGGTCTCCTTAAAGTAATAATATCATAAAAGAATAATTCCTGCCTCTGCAAAGTACTTTGAAAAGTCACAGAGTCCTCTCACAACAGCCACTCCTTGAAATGAGTGGAGAAGTCATTGCCGTCTCCCCAACTCATAGGTGATCAGAGAACCACTATAAGGCTGCCTGTGGTCCTAGATCAGTGAGGAATGGAAGGCAGCTAGAACACGACTCCCTGACTGTGAACTCCACTAAAACATACTTTCTGCTCTGAACCCCTACAGGTCAGGTGCCCTTTATTTATTTGTTCCTTTTAAGTAAATGGTTTACCCACTTATTGGTGTGAGTCTCAAGGGGGGAATCAAAATGGGGAAATGGTAGAAGTCTTCAAGGAAGTTGAAAGAAAACTTAAGGATCAGTGCCTTAGAACAACGTCTTCTTAAAAGGCTGTGCCCCTAATGTATCTATACAGAAGAATTCCCTGGATGGTCTCTTTGTACTTCAGAGCAGTGCTTCTCATATTTTAATGAGCACTTGAATCTCCTTGGATCTTATGAAAGTGCAGATTCTGATTCAAAAGGTCTCATGGAAACCCAGGAGTCTAGATTTTCAACAAAATGTTAGGTAATACTGTGGCTGCTGATCTGTGGGCCTCACTTTGAATTAGAAACCATAGAATGAGATGTTGGTTCTTGGTCCCTTTTCCTTTCAACAGAATCCTTGTTCCTTGCACAGATCCTGCTGTGTACTTTACACCTGGGTTAAGCTCTGTCTAAACTTAATTATACAGGAGTTATTTTGACCTCTTACTAGGCTAATCAATCATATAATGACAAGAAGATGCTCAGAGGAGAGAAGAAATGAAATAAGGGCATAGGCATGCGGGAAAGGCAGAGTGGCAAGCTGTCAGGCAGGCCACCTGAATTCTGCCCTTGGCTCGATCCCCCAACTTGTTTGACCTAGAACTAGCTTATCATCACCTCATGCTTCAACTCCTCGTCCTTCTGTTGCCATTGAATAGGTCCTGGACTCATGGGGACTCCACATCCAGTAGAATGAAACACTGTCTGGTTCTGGGCCATTCTTGTGATCAGGTGCAAACAGTACTCTTGTCCTTAGGATTTTCTTTGGCTGATTTTTGAAGCACTTGCTGCAGAAGGTCAAAGGCTTCAGCCTTCAATATGGATTGAAGCTCAATATCAAAAAGACAAAGATTCTCACCACTGGGCCGATTGGCAGCATCATGAAAAATGGTGAAGAGATTGAGATTGTTAACAGCTTTAATTTGCTTGGCTCTACAACCAACACTCCTGGTTGGCACTATTAACCAGGAAACTAAAAGATATATTGTGATGGGAAAGTCTGCTGTTAGAGACCTCTCCAAAATACTGAAGAGCAATGATGTCAGTCTTGAGACTAAGGTGGACCTGATACAGGCCATGGTCTTTGCAATCGCTTGCAAAGAGTTAGAAAGCTGGGCAATGACTTGGGATGATAAAAGGAGAATTGAAGCCTTTGAGCTTTGGTGTTGGAGAAGAGTATTGAATATGCCATGGACTGCTGGGAGAACAAACATGTTCATCCTGGAGAGGGTTAAAACAGGCTGCTCCTTGGAGGCAAGGATTCTGAAGCTTTACCTGACATACTTTCGACATGTTGCAAGGCAGGACCAATCCTTGGAAAGGAACATCATGCTTGGGAGGGTGGAGGGACAGTGCAGGAGAGAAAGACCCTCTATGGGATGGATTTATTGATTCAGTGACTGTAGTAATGAAGGTAGGTGTGTCAGAGACAGTGCGATTGGCACAGGACAGAGCAGGGTTTAGGGCTGTTGTACATAGGGTCGCTATGAGTTGTAGGCAACTAGACGGCACATAACAACAAGAACAATAACAATTTTTGGAAATAGATCACTATATTTTCTCTCTAGTGGAAATCTCCACTGAAACCTCTTCTGTATCATATATGCATAGAAACCTTCCCTGACAGATGAGAGACAGCTGCTGCATATGAACTCAGGTCTCCCTCATGGAAAGTAAGAATTTAACTTTGAACTTCCAATGCCAAATACACCCCTAGAATGAGTTAGTCATATCTGATAACCTTATCTGCCAGGCCCCAATGAAGATCAGTGAGGGTCACAGAATTGCTTCAAGACATATGAGAACACAAACCAGTGCTTGGAACTTTCTTTCAAGAATTCTAAGAGCAGCTTCTTAGACTCAAAATGAGAAGAAACAGAACATGAACTTGGTTCTTAAGACGTTCTTTCAAGAATTCCAAAGGCAGCTCCTTAGACTCAAAATGAGAAGAAACAGCTACAAGCATCAGTGAATAATCAGAATGTGGGATGCACGAAGTATAAATCCAGGAAAATTGCAAGTTGTCAAGAATGAAATGGTGGAATGAATAAAGATCGAAATAGTCTGTTAATCAGTGAACTGAAATGGACTCGTGTTGGTTGTTTTAAATCATACGGTCCAATATGTCAGAAATGACAAACTGGAGAAGAATGGCATTACATTCTTTATCAAAAAGAACATTTCAAGATGGATCTTGGAATACAACATTGTCAGAGATAGAATATTATTCATATACCTTCCAGAAAGACTAGTTAATAGGTCTGTTATTCAAATTTGCGCACTAAACAGTAATGGTAAACATGGAGAAATAGAACATTTTTACCAGTATTTTCATCCTGAAATTGATCAGATATACAACCAAGATGGATTTATAATTATTGGTAATTAGGGTGTGAAAATTGGGAACAAGTATAGCTTTTTTAAAAAGTATGACCTTTAGCCCGTCTGCGCTCACTTGTGCTCAGCTCAGTCCTGCCGCTGTCCGCTGCCCTCCTGTCTCCCACGATGGCCCTGCTGCACTCTGGTCGCGTCCTTTCCAGGGCTGCCGCTGCCTTCTACCCAGGCCTCGCCGCCGTGGCTTCTGCCAGAGCCAGCTCTTGGTGGGCCCACGTGGAGATGGGGCCCCCAGATCCCATCCTGGGAGTCACAGAAGCTTTTACGAGAGATACCAACAGCAAAAAGATGAACCTGGGAGTAGGGGCCTCCCGAGAAGATAACGGAAAGCCTTACGTGCTTCCTAGTGTCCGGAAGGCAGAAGCTCAGATTGCTGCAAAAAAATCTGGACAAGGAATACCTCCCCTTTGGAGGACTGGCATAATTTTGTAAGGCGTCTGCAGAACTGGCCCTGGGTGAAAACAGCGATGTGTTGAAAAGTGGCCGGTATGTCACCATGCAGACCATTTCTGGAACCGGGGCATTAAGGATTGGAGCTAGTTTTCTGCAAAGATTCTTTACGTTCAGCCGAGATGTCTTCCTGCCCAAACCATCCTGGGGAAACCACACGCCCATCTTCAGGGATGCTGGCATGCAGCTACACGGTTATCGATACTACGACCCCAAGACTTGTGGCTTTGACTTCACAGGTGCTCTAGAAGACATTTCGAAAATGCCAGAGCAAAGTGTTCTTCTTCTGCACGCCTATGCTCACAACCCTACGGGAGTGGACCCTCGTCCTGAGCAGTGGAAGGAAATAGCCACGGTGGTGAAGAAAAAGAATCTGTAGGCATTCTTTGACATGGCCTACCAAGGCTTTGCCAGCGGAGACGTTAACAAGGATGCCTGGGCCGTACGCCACTTCAGCGAATGGGCATCGATGTTTGTCTCTGCCAATCGTACGCCAAGAACATGGGCTTATATGGTGAGCGTGTGGGGGCCTTCACCGTGGTGTGTGCGGATGCTGATACGGCCAAAAGGGTGGAATCACAGTTGAAGATCTTGATCCGTCCAATGTATTCCATCCAATCCTCCTCTCAACGGAGCCCGGATTGCCTCGACTATTCTGACCACACCGGATCTTCGAAAACAATGGTTGCAGGAAGTGAAAGGCATGGCCGACCGACCGACCGCATCATCAGCATGCGGACCCAGCTGGTGTCCAACCTCAAGAAGGAGGGCTCCTCCCACAACTGGCAGCACATCACTGACCAGATCGGCATGTTTTGTTTCACGGGGCTCAAGCCCGAGCAGGTGGAGCGGCTCACCAAGGAGTTCTCCATCTACATGACCAAGGACAGCCGCATCTCCGTGGCAGGCGTCACCTCTGGCAATGTGGACTACCTTGCACATGCCATTCACGAGGTCACCAAGTAATTTCTCTGGTCGGGAGGAACAGGGGCGGCCTGTCCGTTTTCAGCCTCTGCTGTGAGATGCCCAAGGAGGACGGGGGAGGGTGGGTGCTGGTTAGCAGATCGTTTATTTCAACCACAACACTTAACATTCAGCCACTGAATGTGTTTTGCAGAAAAGATCACGTAGTGACATAGGGCAGAGGCATCAGTGGCTGGTGGCTGGACATTTGTGGCTCCAAAACCAAACTCTTCTCCCCCTCATCCCCACGCTTGCCCCAATCCTTTTATCTCCAGCTTTCCTAAAAGAGTTTACATGTGTAAGAAAGTCAGAGCCAAAAATCTGTCAATCGTACCATTGCAATATTTCAGAAGCTTTAACTGGAGCACCTTGCATGCTAAGGGTTCCTCTGTTCACCAACATGAGACATAACACGTATGAGAGGCATTGCAAGAAGATGTAGTGTTGACATTAGCAATTGGTTAGTTGGCTTTGTGTTTGCCCTTCCTAAAGATAGCACCGTGCAGAAATCGTGTTTGATGAAATGCACTGAGTCCTCTGTAGGTACGTCAAAGATGATAAAATAGACCTTTTCTTGTCTTGTTTTTTTAAAAAAGGCTCTCCTTTTTAACACCTGTAGGCGGTTGAAATCTCCTCTTTTAATCCTTATCATTGATTTTTCTTTTCCTCCAACACAAAGATCTGTCATCATTAGCCTAGATCCTTAACCTCTCTACGCCAGCCTAGATTTTCTTCCAGTCTCTTGACCATCCCCCCATCACTATTGATTTTAAGACTGAAGAACATCATTTCATCCTCATGCCATCCCTTCCCGTAGATAATAATAGAGATTTATCCTTTGATTTCCACCTCCTCTCCAATCATCGTTTCATTCTCCCTGTCGGAACGCCACCTCTGCTGATAGAGACCTGTCCTGTCTTGGCCAAGAGTGGCTGTACAGTTACTCACCCCGGGTGAAGCAGGCAGCTCACGGCAGCCCCAGGAGACGTGGGGTGCTGCACTTGGTGTGTGTGCCAGTCAGGCTCGGGCTTCCCCCTGGGCAAAGGTGACCACCATCTGCTCTAATCATGTAGATTTACTGCAGCTTGGTTTCTCTGTTACAATAAAATCGCTGTAGACCCAACTAAAAAAAAAAGTATGACTTTTAGTGTATATGAATTTTGTAAATATACTAGTATAATTTTTTTAAAAAAATATGACCTTCATTATAGAAATAAAGCTGGAGATTATATGGTAGAATTTGCAAGTCCAATAACTTATTGGAAAGACCTTTCTTCAACAACATAAATGGTGACAATACATATGGACCTCAGTGAATGGATACACAGAAATCAGACTGACTACAAAGCGACAATGAGTAGACTCAGCCTCGTCAGTTACAACAAAGTCAACAGTCTACTGAAGAGCAGACTAGTATTGCTCATATGCATGTTCAAGTTGATGCTGAAGGAAATGAAAACCAGCCTGTGGGAGCTACAGCATAACCTTGAGTATACTCCACCTGAATTTAAAGCTATCTCAAGACTAGATCTTATCCATTGAACTGAAGACCAGATAAGTTATGGGATGCTATTAAGGACATTATTGATGAAGAAAGTAAAAGATTATTAAAAAGGCAAGAAAGAAAAAATCCTAATGGCTGTCAAAAGTTATTCTGACATTTGGTATTGAACAGAGTAGCTAAAACAAAATAAAGAAACGATGAAATAAAAGCTGAACAGAATGTTTCAAAAGATAGTTCAGTAGGACAGGTAGCATTTTTTCATGAAATATACAAAATCTTGGAGTTAGAAAACCAAAAAGGAAGCTAGATTGATATTTCTATAGGTGAAAAAAATGTAGAAAAAAAATTAAACTTTGAGTTGCAGTATTGAAGATTATGTGGGAAAAATACTGAGTGATACAGGAAGCATCTAGAAAAGGTAGAAGGAAACAACAGACATATACCAACAAAAGGAGAAAAAAAATGTTCAAATGATGTTCAATAATTTTGAGAGGTTGCATATGATCAAGAACTGTTGGTACTGAAGGAAGGAGTCCAAGTTACGCTAATGGCATTAGTGGAAACTGACGCTGCAAATGACAGAATGTCATTTGAGATCTTGCAACAATTAGGTGCAGTGGCTCATTGTTTATGCCAAGAAACTTGAAAGATGGGTACCTAGCCAATGGACTGTAAGAGATCTATATTTGTGCTCAATAAGAATAAAATTGATCTAACAGTTTACAAAAATTGTTGAACAATATAATTAATACAACACACAAGTCAAGTTTTATTGAAGATAATTAAAAATCAGTTGCAGTAGTACATGGACAGGGGACTGCCAGAAATTCAGACCACTTTCAGAAGAGGATGGGGAGTGAGGGATATCACTGCTCATGCCAGATAGATTTGCCTGAAAGCAAATACTAGAAAGATGTTTGGATTATATGGACCATAGCAAATTCTGAATAACATTTCAAAGAATGGATATTCCAGAATACTTAATTATTGTCATGCATAATCTGTGCATAGACCAAGAGGCTATTTGAAAAGAACAAATGGGTACTATGTGGCTTAAACTCTGCAAAGGGTTGCATTCTGTTATTATATTTATGCAGTCTCTATCCTGAATAAATACCTGAGAAGCTGGACTATTTAAAGAACTACACAGCATCAGGATAGGATGAAGACAATATGTATTGTGCAGAGGATACACTTTGCTTACTGAAAGCAAAGAGAAGTTGAAACACTTACTGATGAAAGTCCAAGACAAGATATGGGTTATATCTCAACATAAATAAAACAAACATCCTTAGCCAGGACCAGTAAGTCATGTTATGATAAGTGGAGAAAATATTGCATATGTCAAGAATTAATTTTACTTGAATCCACAATCAGTGCCCATGGAAAAAGGGAGGAGGGAGGAGGAAAATGTAGAACAATGCATGAAGGAGAACCGAACCTTTCTAGAAACTTTCATTAAAATCACAATTTAAAAAAATAAAATAAGTCAAATGACCTATTGCATTGGGGGGGAACTGTTGCAAAAGACCTTTTTAAATTGTGAAAATACAAAATCATCACTTTGAAGATGAACGTGTGACTGCTCCAAGCCATGGTATTTTCAATGACGTACTTGATCCCTTTGAATTATGGTCTTGGCAAAGAGAATTGAACAAACTCTGCCAGAAGAACCAACAAGTCTGTCTTGGCAGATATGCAGGCAGAATGCTCTTTAGGATGGTGAGACTTTGTCTCATGTATTTTGGATCAGTCCCTGGAGGACATTATGTCTAGAAAAGTAGAGTTAGCAAAAAAAGAGGAAGACCATTACCAAATGATTTCACACAGTGTCTATGACAATGATTATCAGGACTTGGTAGTATTTTATCCTCTTATTGCTATGAGTTGTAACTGACTTGACAGTACCTAACACCACCAGCAATAATGGTAGCTCCTAAGATAAATGTCAGCAAGCTGAGACTGAGGGGAGAAAATTATGCCCTTCTTATATTGGAGGAAGTGGAGTCTGAGAGTTGCTAGACTCAAGCTCAAAGAACTACCACCAAGTTGTAAAGGCAGAAACTGAGTCCTTTTTTGCTCATAGTTTTGCACACAAGGGGTAACATGTTTTAGTTTGTGTAACATCACATACACAGAAGCTCATGTAAGATTCACATCAGCTCTATGAAGTCAACTTGGTCAGTGTGGCAATTTGTGCTTGGCCAACAGGCTCCTAGTAGTTTTCCAGCATAATGGGCTTTAGATTCATGCTCTTCGGTGGCTGCTAAACTAGTGTTTGGCATTAGGCCTCTTGGTTCAATTGATTTATTTCAAGGAAGCTTTCAAACCTCATTGCCCACCTTCAATCTTTATCCTGCAAAAATGATCCCTGGTGGTCTTCAGAGGGACATAGGCTGGAAGCCAGTCAATTTACTTCACTTCATCCTCATCCATTTTGTAAATAAGTACACCAAGACTGAGAGATGTGATATTATCTAGCCAGGGTCCCACAGTTGTGTGTTAAGCATCCTCCAAGATAGACATTCATTATCCTTTCAGCTAATGCTCCCACATTAATTAGGGCTGGCCTAGTATGTGACTTCTAAGGTCATCAAAGACCTTATGGCTTCTGCTTTGGACTCTCTTGATTCACTCACTTTGGAGGAGCACCAGCTGCCAAGTGAGGAGGATATTTAAATGGCAGTCTTGTGGAGAGGTCCACATGGCAGGACCCCAATAGAGCTCTCAGACCCAGCACATCCCCTTCAATGTCCAGGGCTCCTTGCCCCACACTGACCTGACTCCTTCACTCTCTTCTTTTTTGTGAAGCAGAGCAAAGGATGGCTCAGGGAAAGGATGCTGGGAAGTGGTGGACCTGAAGCCCAAAGGATGCTCTGTGACCCTCTCTCCTACTCTGAGACACTGGGCTACATGCTGAGACTAACCTGCCTTTTTTTTTGTCCCACAGCTCAAACAAATGGTGGTGGGAACACTGGGATGGAAGGGATCATGAACCCCTATACTGCTCTGCCCACCCCCCAGCAGCTCTTGGCCATTGAGCAGAGTGTCTACACCTCAGATCCCTTCCGACAGGGACTCACTCCACCCCAGATGCCTGGAGACCATATGCACCCCTATGGTAAGAGTGGCACAAGGGTCATAGAAACCTCTTAAATATACTTCTAATTCCCTCCCAGACACAGTACAAAGTCCCATGAGCACTCATTGAAACCCCAGAGTGGAAGTATTGCCCCCATAAAATAGTGCCAGAACCATCTGACCAATGGGCACAGGAGAAAGACCAATATGCATCTTCACTTGTAACTGTCTCATTTAGTCTCATTTTCAAAACTTGTGAGATTACTCTTTAAAATATAATCTGATTTCATAATTGAAATGAAAATCCAAATTTCACAGGTCTTGCAGTCCATGCTGGGCTTATTGTGCTTAAATATTTGCAAGCACTTATCAACATTGATATGGGAAAAATGTCTTAATCAGGCAAACACTTAGCAAAAGAGAAAGGATATGTAAAAGCACTTGAAACATTTTCCAACTGGATGATTCTACTGGAAATACTGTAGGTAGACTCTATGAAAAAATAACTCTCTTCCTTGTACATCCCCAAATGGGCTTGATTTAAATGCTAAGTTTGTGTATAGAAAGGCGCTCCAGTGGCCCAATGTTTAAGGTACTTGACTGCTAACCACATGGTGGTTGTTGCTGGGTATCAACGAGTCAGAACTGACTCATAGCTGACCTTCCAGTGGGTTTTCAGAGGCAGTTACTCTCACGGGAAGAGATGTCCAGCTTTCTTGCACAGAGCAGCCAGTGGATTCTAACAGTGTATCTTTGGGTTAGCAGCGCAATTCCTTACCAATGAGCCACCAGAGCTCCCTAATTAGATGCTTGATTCAAACTCATCAATCACTCTATGGCAGAAAGAGGTAGCAGTCTCTGATTGACTAAAGATTTACAGCCTTGGAAATGCGCTGCGACATTTGTACTCTGTAATTTTGGGTTGAGATGAGTTAGAATCAGCTCCATAGCGGTAGGCTGGGTATGTCAGTCACACTTGCCTGGCTTTCTGTTTATGCTAATGAACAACAGATGGGATTTGGGAATCCTGTTAGAGTCGAGTGGAGGGCTCAATTTCAACCTCAGGGGCAAATATAGGCCGCTGCATTTTTATAGAAAGAAAGCTAGTGCCCGGTGTAATGCATGATGCGTATTGTGTAGTGGCGATAAACCCTGATAGCTAGAAAGAACATTTTATTCAGCAAGCCTTTAAACTTTGTTTTCATTGTTATGTGCCATCAAGTTGACTACAACTCATAGTGACCCGATGCACAATCGCTCTGAACCTTGCTCTGTCCTGAGCCAAACTCACTGTCTCTGAAACACCTACCCTCATTACCCCAGCTACTGTGTCAGTCCATCTCATCCAGGGTTTTCCTTCCTGTGCTGTCCCTCCACTTTTCCAATCATGATGTCATTCTCCAAGGACTGTTCCCTCCTGGCAACATGCCCAAAGTATGTGAGATGGAGCTTCAAAATCTTTGCTTCTAAGGAGCAGCTAGGTTTACATTCTCCACGACAGACCTGTTAGTTCTCTTGGCACTCTATGGCATGTTTAATACTCTTTTCCAGCACCACAACTCAAAGGCATCAGTTCTTCTTCTGTTATCTTTGGTCATTGTTCAGGTTTCTGATGCATGCAAATAATTGTGAAGACTATGGCCTGAATCAGACACATCTTAGTCTCTGGACTGACATCATTGGTCTTTAGCACTCTGGAGCAGTTTTTCCCAATGCAATTCATCTTTTGAATTACATACATCAACTCACAGATTTTGGCAGGCATTGTCCTTCATGACTTCACTTATACAAATGTTTTACTTATTATCACAGCCACCTTCCACCTCCCACCTTCTCATGTCATATATTCAACAAACATTTATTAAAACTTGGCCTGTTGCATGGCCGTTCTTGATCAAACTCATTAATTCGCACAAATGTAAATACATGATTGCATGCTAGATGACTTCGTTCTCTCTGTCTCTTTAGCAAGTATGATGCCTATACCATCTTCTTGCCATAGTTTTGGGAAATTAGGGGTGGGGGGCAAGTGGCAAGAAGCTGCACTGCAATCCTGAAGGCACTTAGTTCAAGGCTACTAGCTACTCTGTGGGAGAAGGATGGACAATCTCCTCCTGTGTGATTAACTGCCTCTGAAAACCCGCAGGAGGGTCAGCTATGGGTTGATTTTGACTGAAAATAGATATATAAAATTGATATATTATATATATATATATATATATATATATATATATATAGTCAATAGGTGTTATTGAGTTAGAACTGACTCAGAGTTGACCCTACTGTGGGTTTTCAGAGACAATAAATTACATGGGAGATTGTCCATCATTCTCCCATTAAGAAGCTGGTGTAGTCAAACTGCATGCCTTTGGAATTGCGGTGTAGCTTCTTACCATTAGGCAGATAGATAGATAGATAGATAGATAGATTAGGTAGATAGATATAATTCATCTCATTGCCATCAAATCAGAACCAACTCATAGCTGACCCTTCTGAGGCTGTAAATCATGTCAGAGATTGTCTATCTTTCTCCTGTGGAGTTGCTTGGTGGATTCAACTGAATCACCAAAGAGATTCAGCCTTTGGGTTAGTAGTGAATACCCTACAGAATATGCTACCAGAGATCCCTTTATAAATATATACATATATAAATATGTAAATATAAACATATATAAATATATCTCCTTGTTGTAGGATTTCAAAATCCCAGGGGTCTTTTTACATTAATGACCCCTGTGGTGAGTCCTTTGTCAAATAAATAATCAAAGCCAAATGACAAGATTTATAAACTTCAGTTTTCACCTCTCCCACTTACTTGAAGTGGACAGGAAAGGCGCTAAGCCTGCTAAAGTTGTCTCAGTCCTTCTGCTGTTCTACAATTTGCTTTCTTGGCTTCTCTCTCAGGAATGTAAATGAGTGGCACTTAGGCACTTGACCTTTCTTTCCTTGGTAGCAAAATTTGGGAATACTGCAAGTATTCAGGATGCCTTTGCTGTTGGAAAGAACACATTGTCACAGAAGGTTTCATTAGCCCCTCCTCCTTCAGGGGTCCTGCCCCTGTCTCTCCAGTCTTTGATGATATGCCCTCCCCAAGCTTCACACTCATTGTCTAGACGTCCTGACATTTGCTTACAGTGCACTCAATTTAACACGCTGTCCTATTCTGCTTTATATTATTTCCATTTATACTTTGGACACAAGTCCCTGAAAGAACAGAGAATTTGTCCCTTTATATGTGTGTGTATATGTATATGTGTATGTATATATATTTTTTAATTTTATTTTTTCTTTTTTGTCTTGGTTAACACACTCAGCTGCTAATCAAAAGGCTAGGAGTTGAGTCCACCCACATGCACTTTGGAAGAAAGACCTGGAGATCTATTTGAGGAAAAAAAGAAATCAGTTGTTGAAAACTCTGTGAAGTGCAGTTCCATTCCAACCTTCCAGGGGTCGCTAGGGGTTAGACTCAACTCAGCCTCAGCCAGTTGCTTGTACTTTTCTGTGCAGACCCCTGCCCTCCTTTAACCCCCCCCCCTTTGTCCTGTAGTCACACTGTGAGTTGCATTTGAATTTTCTAGTATTGCAGTGAGTCACGCCTCCAGAACCTCATGCCAATGTTTTGTCTCCATTTCAGGTGCTGAACCCCTTTTCCATGACCTGGATAGTGACACCTCCCTCAGTAACCTGGGTGACTGTTTCCTAGCAACCTCAGAAGCCGGGCCCCTGCAGTCCAGAGTGGGAAATCCCATTGACCACCTGTACTCCATGCAGAATTCTTACTTCACCTCTTGAGTCTTCCCCTCAAGTTCTGTGGCTAGGCTCCCAAATGGATCAACCATATTGTGTGAGGGGTCAGCTGGCTTTAGAACGGGGATTCCAGGGAAGAGGTGGGTTGGGGGGAGTTTTGTCGGGGATGCTGTTGTATAATGATATGGTCTAGCTCGGCATTTCCAAAGACTGAATACATTATGGATTGCATAGTTTAATGTTTCTAATAAGAGTCTTAGCGTTAGATATGAAGATGTGTTTATCATTAAGGACAGGGACCTTTAATATAGACATTCTCATGCAAACTAGATGCCTAGTGACTCCTAACAACTTCCCACCATTTTGGGGAAGCTCTTGTCAAGAGGTGCATACGTCTATCCATCTCTCCACCCATAGACAGACAGACAGACAGATAGATAGATGTGTGTGAGTGTGTAACCTTTCATACTTTATCATCAAAGTTTATTCCTAATTATAACAGACATCAACTGTACAGCAAAAGTAACTTTATTTTCAGTGTGAACTATATTTAAGGAAATGCTTGATGCACTTAAGTTATAAAATGAGATGATTTACTTTTATAAACTTTATTTTTAGTTTGTTGGCAGGGCAGAGAGGGCTGTTCCATCTAGCCCCATGGCTTTGAGTGCTTGAGGTAATTCTGTTTTCAGAGAGCACCGTTTAGGTCTGGACAATAACTGTGGCTGACAGTGTTCTCTTAGGTTCTTGCTGTCTGTGGGGTTGAATCACTGGTGTGGATGAGTTAAAATAAGTCCTAATCATGCCCTTGGGAAATTCAAAGCCTAGGCTCCTGGGCTTTATGTTCATTTCCGGTTACTGGACAGCGCTAGAAAAGTCGTTTGTGCTTGAGCTCCAGCATCATCTGGTGTGAGATGAGCCTAATGGCCTGTACCTACCTCACTGGGCAACGCCAAGACTGAATTCACTCCCAGGAAAGACTAAGAGCTAATAGTTAATATCAAAACCAAACTAGCCCAGTCACTCAGCAAAGGTGGCTTCTGGAACTGTAGAGCAGGAGGACTCTTCTATGTTGAGGGTTAGATGGCATTGATAGTCCCTTCTGCAAAACCAGCATAGTAGAAGGACCAGTTCAGGGTGGCTCAGAGAGGCATCAGAGTCCTTAGATGGCAAAGAAGCTAAGGCAGAGGAGCTAGAGGAGGGCACTGTGCTGTTCTAGAGTAGGAGCTAGCAAACTGTAGCAGACAGAGCTGCCAGCTTAGGATGGTTTTTACATTTTTAAAGAGTTGTTGTTAAAACACACACGCACACACACACACATGAAACCACAAGAATATGTCACAGAACTAGGTGACTCTCAAAGCCTAAAATGTGTACCATCTGTCTCTTAGCAGGAAATGTTTGCTGACCTCGCTTTAGAGTATGTGTGTCCAAACAGGCTTTTGGAGCTCACAGAGCTCCTGGTGGTCCAGGTGGGAACCCAGGCTCATCCCTCCCACTCACTTCCTGACTGAACACAGGAGCCCTGGTAGCCATTGCCCACAGGGACATTTCTGCACTCTCTTCTCCAAATGTGGTGCTAGAATGGGACACTTCTTTGCTGGGACACCCCCATGGAAGTCAGAATAAGAGGGGTGTGGGCACAGAGAACCAGCTTGGACTCCTCCTGGGATGTCATGAGAGACTTGGCACAGCGACACTCCCCCCTCATGCTCCGGAAGGCCTGAGGGAATATGTCCATTGATAGATGAATCTCCACTGTGTGTTTATTTTTGTGCTCTTGCTTATAATTTATACAAACCACCATGAAACCCAAGCCAATCTGGTGAGTGAAAATCACGCCCATGCTGTGTCGCTCCTCAGGTTTCTGTGGTAAAGATCAGTTGGAGAATGTAGCAGATACTATGTGAGTGAAAACGAATAGAGATCCTTATTCCACTCCTTAATGGCTTACCAAGATGAAATTAAAATCCTCTTACAAATGTGCTGTTGTTTATTCAGGGGCAGGGTGGTGGGCAGGGAACCAGGGGAGTTGTGGGACTTGGGTCAACAGGAGCATGAAGTTGAGTCTTCGACAAAACATACATGAATGGGAAGAATGCCAGCCTCAGAATGTGAGGATAAAGTGGTCTTCACCCTTCTGCCAAGTTGGATTTTCCAGAGCAGACTCCTGTCTAAAAATGCCCCCCACAGAGGAGGCACTAGATCATTCTTTCCCCATCATGATGCTCATCTGTGGGAGAGCAGTTTGCAAGAAGCCGTGAGCATTTGCTTGGAGATCAGAATCATGGAACTGGAGAAGAATTTCTCAGGCTGGGTATAAGAGGGTTGCAGAGTCAGGGTAGGGGAGCAGAGCGGTGGATAGGACCCCCTAAAGATGCCAAAAATTTTAAATGTAGTTTATGAATGGATGGTTGTTACGGCTGGATAGAAAACAAGACGGGTTATAGTGTGTATATAAGATAATGAGGCATATATCCAAAAGGTGACACTGTTTTGTGTGTCATTTCTTACTCACCTGCCTTGACAGTTGTTCAGGCCCTGTCACTCTACTTCAAGCTCATGCCTCCCATGTTAGAAGCAGGTTCTGCCTATTCCTGAGGGCCTAGAACAAGAGAGATGTGAGTCAGGTCAGATCCTAGTCTCCCATGGGCAGAAAGTGCCTTTAAGGACATACGAGCCTCTGACTGACTTCCACTGATGCTGATTGCTAGCTTCCAGGGGGACCTTTCCTCTCAATTTTGCCTGGTTAAAACTCCTTCTTGTTGTTGTTGTTGTTGTTGTTGTTAAGTACCATCGAGTTGGAACCGACCCATAGCTCACCATCCGGCAGGTTTTCAGAGGCAGTTAATTGCCCAGAAGGAGATTGCCCATCCTTCGCATTCAGAGCAGCTGGTGGCCTTGAACCGTGTGTCTTGGAGATTGCAGCACAACTTCTTGAGGCCCCTAGACCTTAACTACTTACTCCTTCAGAATTCATACAGCCTTTGGCTTCTAGAGAAGCCTCCAAAGTTGGGTTAGATGCTGGTATTGTAGCATTTGGACTAGTGCTATGTGTTATTAACATGTAAATGCAAAACTTGTGTAGTCATTTGAACACAATAGAAATTTCTATTTTTGCTCCCATAAAAGACCTGGGAGGGTGTTCAGGTTAGAAACGGGCTATCTCATGATGCAGAATAAAGTTGCTGCCATTTTCAACTCATGGTTATAAGCTTCTACTGGAGTTAGTTCCATCATAGCCAAATGGAAGGGCAGTACAAGGGAGTACACAAAAGAGAGGTTCCTGTGAGCCAGGCCTGGAAGTAGCTCATGTCTCTTTCACCACTGCTTTTCAGTTATAGTTAAGTCATGGGGGAAATGACTACGTGTAAGAAGGTGGGGATTGTGACCTAGCTGTAAGCCTTGAAGAGGAGATGAGAGTGTGGGGTTTGCTGAGTGAGCTCTTAATACCTTCTGCTATGCTACCACTCCAAAGGATTCAGATAGCAGTATGTGCTGTCTCAGTTATAACCCTTATCACACAGCATGATTACTTCTTTGTCCATCTCTGCCATTGGACAGCAAAATTCTTGAGAGAAGAAACTGTAATTTTTGCTCTCAGAGGAAAAAGACAAGAGTATAAATGTTTATGGATGTATGTATGGATGGATCAATTCTTCCATTTCTACTTCTAGCACTTCAGTATAGCTAAATGTTCATTCAGGATCTATTGGACAATAGGTGTTTCTTTCCTGTTATTCATCATATACGTCCCTCAGATATTCTTCCCTAAATTGTGTGGGACAGATTCTCCTTGTCTTTTTATTGTTTAACCTAATGATAGATATGGACAGACACACATAAATCATTGTTGATTTACTGTTGCTCCATTTTTGTTCTTCACTGAGCCCCAACCACGTTCACACGCTTCTCTTCTTGGCCCATTCTTGCCTTTATCATTTTATATTTATTTACTAAAACACCTACCATTTACTTAAACGTTCCAGAAGCTTCTCCTCGGTGTGGCTACACTACTCTAATGCTTTATTAACCACTGGCCAGCTCTCTTCTGCTTTTCCCCTGTTTCTTGTGCTGGAGGTTCCTCTTCCTTCCCCAGAGTCTAGCACAGCCAACACTGCTGGTGATCATGTAAAGAGCACCAAAAGGAAGCAATTGTACTTCTGTGTTTTATCTAATTTTGCAAATATGCTCTCAAGGTGCATGGATAAACACTAAAGTCAAAGATAGGTCATCTTTTGCATCTCAACAGTAGGAGATTATTTTATTTGCACAAGAGAATGTACACAGTGTAAATGCGGCTCCTTTTCTCTCGCCACTCACGTGAAGACAATGTTGAAAACTTCTGTGTTCCAGGCACGACATTGCTGGGTCTACTCTACAGGCTATCATGATTCCTTTTGCTTTAAAAGGATTTCTCCCTCAAAGGCAAGAATGAAACCAATTGTTCATCTGCCCATCTAATCATCCATTCATTTATTCATCCATTTCTCTCCATTATCTCTTTTGTTCCTACCTTTATTCAACAACTACTTATTGAATGTTTGTAGGCAAAGTAGCCCACACTCCAGGATGGCCCTGGAGTGGACATGTCTAGATACGAATTTAGCTCTGCCACATATCAGCTGAGCCTCCAGTTCTCCATCTGTCGAGCTTATAGTTACCACAGAAGGGCTATGAGGACAAAGGAAGCAAAATATTCAAAACACTTAGACCTGTGCATGGCACATGGCAAATGCTCTGTGTACATCAGCTATAACATCATGTCCCCACCTGCCATAGTTTTGTTAGTGGTGAAAGATTATAAAGGCATTTTAGAGTTTCCATATTTAACAACAACAAAGAAGGTGCAACTTAGCTGATTATTACTTCTTTAAATATCAATGCCTAGGATAACCTAGCCATCAGTGGATGGTATGTTGGCTAATCTATATTTTGCTCATCCCCTGCACTGCAGTTGCCATGGAATGGAAATGTGGAGCCTGCTGCTCTGATTGTGGTGGGAAGGACACATCTATTTTATTGTAAAGCTGATCAATTTTTTTCAGGTCCTTTAAAATTTATTAATTGAATTATTAGAAGGATGATAGATAGATAGATAGATAGATAGATAGATAGATAGATAGATAGATAGAAAGCATAGACCCTAGGGTACATAA